CACACACACACACACACACACACATACATGCACACACACACACACACACACACACACACACACATACACATAAATGCACATTAGATAGAAAAGGGAGATGTAGTCTACACTAGGAAAACATTTTAAAATTGCATTAAACGGAAGTAAATTGTATGAAAACATAGAAAAACGGACATAAAAAAAAGGTGAATAAAGTATGATAAGAACGACAAGATAATGGAGAAATTATAATCATGAACTTCCCAATATACATTTTAAGTAGGTAGGAACCGCACGATGAACGCTATGACGTAACAGTTTACGAAATAAACAGGAAAAAAAGAAACTAATAAGCAGGAACCAAAGAAATAAGGGGAGAGATCGCATAGTTATATCTTGAAAATACAACGTAACACACGCATTTACCAGTTGAAACAATAAGAGAGCTAAGAAAGCATTTTGCTCTAACAGTAAGCATAAGAATTAAAATAAATGACAGACAAATCAATACTGGATATTCAATGCAAGAATATTAAAGCAGCACAAAACCGTAATATGTATAGTAAACAATTCCCCTCTACTAAAGAATAGGGAAATTCAAATTATTTAGAAAGCCAAACACTAAGAAATCAAGCTTCGGTACTATAGAAATGATAATCATTCCTCACTTCATTAAATAACCTGTTTCCAGACAAACAGCAAAGTGAACTTGATACAAAAGTATAAGGTACTACAATATTAGTATCAGTTTAGATAGTTAGCAGTAGCTATACTTCTAGAGTTTAAATTTACAAGAAAAAGACTATTCGAATAATATTAGTTAATGAGATGATATGAAAGTAATATCTTCCAATGCGCATAAATGAGAGATTAGTTAACTTGCGATATGCAGCGTTTCAACAATAGTAATGCGTTCGTATTGCCAATGGCGGTTCATATGCTGATATTTTCGTATTGTCAGTCAAGCTCGAACAACTTACCTACTTAGCAAAGCAACTTTCGATGTTATGCTATATATAGGATCGATTTTTAGAATATCGTAATGAAGTACCGTGAATTAGAATGAAATATAAGAACCAGCCCATGTAGTAATGATTCGAAAAACTATGAAATAACAGAAGGAGAAAATAAATACTGTATTATTTGTAGAAGGCAATATAAACAGGTCATGTAAATGAGTGATGAAGAGAATAAATATAAATAAATATAAAAAATGTTAAAAGAAATCAAAAAAAAGTTGGTCAATTTCGATAGTTAAGTCATTTCGTTTATATTTTCCAATATTGTTATTGTTTCGTCACCACAATCAACTGTCGATTGTACCGAAATTTTGCGCATCATATCCTGTACATTTGTAGTTGGCACTAAAAAAAAGTGTGGTGAAAAACAGAGTAAGGACAAAAGAACTATAGAAGTGTGTAAAAAAAAAAAAAAAAAGAACAGAAAATGAGATATCACTGAACAAATTAACATCATCGTTATCACTACTACATCATAGATAATAACAAATGATGTGATCAGTTGATCATCATAGATAATTATAAATGATGTCAGTTTTCAAACAGCTGAACATAATTTTACAATTACTTCCGTAATGTGTAAGTTCAGTTTACAGCTGCTTCCGTAAGGTGTACCTTCAGTTGTTAATTAACAGCAATTAGTAGTAAACGTAACTAGTGCAGCAATTTTAAGCAATGTTAATAATACCAGGAAAATTCAACAAAATCAAAAAAAAACCGAAATTCAGAAATTATGAAGCTCTAAACACCAACCAAAACCACGTCCTTGTAGGAACAAAATAATTGCTTGTGCCACACCTTCCGGTTTATCATCCAAAACAAGTCCACTTGATCCCGAAAGCTGAAAAATTAATCTTTTCTAATACTCGAATGATTAAAAAAGAAATTTCGAATGCGCTGCGATGCTAAGTCAAAATCAACCACATAATCTATCTGATGTTCAAAATATATTGACTGAAATTTTGAGATTTCATCACGTTTTTATAAAAATTACGCAAAGTATGCACGATTTATCATCAGGCAATTGATAATAGATATCAGGCAATGCACTAACCTTGAGCCATTCTGAATCGACTGGATTCAATCGAGCATTCAATTCCACCGAATCTCTGACAAACGCAGAATCAGCACCTACAATTTGTAGGACAGGTACGTTCAACTTCGGGCCCATTGTACCATCACGCGAAACAGATATCGGTGTGCGACTGGAATCATCAGTTTCATTATCAAAAATAGTAAAATTTATAACTATATGGGTTTCCTTTAAACCCATTAAGATTGCTGATGTTTATGTTCCTCATTCCAAATCATACTTCAGATAAGTTTCGATGAAAGCAGCCAAATTTTTCGGATTTGGAAGGTGCTGCAAATATGCACGATACCGACGAACAGTATCGGGAGCATATAGTGTAACGTGATTTCCGAAATGATGCCATAACAAATAGTCAACCGAGAAATTCGTCATCCCACGTGTACGCAACGAGCGAATATTGATCTATAGCAAATTAGAATCAAAATAGTCAAAGAATTTTCATAAATTAATCGTGGTAGTTCGAAGCTATTACAAAAACATGGAAAAATATTTCTTTATCAAATGATCTACTTGTTAATATCATACGGATATCGTTACTATATGAGTGACAATTGATCACATATGAGTGTAACTGAAACGGCCCATTTAGCTTAGTATCATAGGAGTAAAGTTGTCAATTTAAACATTTCGCAAACTACAAATAACCGACCTGCTGATAGAACCATTCAATCCAACCTGCACTCGTTGCCACACAATTGACTAGTATTAAGGCGTCCATCTTTGATTGATTTTGGAGCTAAAAGATAGATAAATTTTATTTCGTACGAACAAAATAATAAATCTTTAAACAGCAATAAGCAATATCTATTATCCCTACAAATAACCGTCGATATACTTTAACAGTTCACTTCATATTTCAACTACAATGTTAGCGTACTCTAACCATTACCGAAAAGTAGTAGTAACCCTTTGAAAATCCTCCGTGAACGGGATCAGGAATTGTAATTATTCCTCTTGAAGAGGATTTCCTAGTGAGTGTGAGTGATCTGCTCACATTAATCATATTTTAATTTTTTCAAGGTAAACTTGCTAGCCACCATTCACAACCAATCAAAGCAACATTGGGAAAACTAGCAACATTAGTCTACAAGCGTAGTTCTCATCTAATGGATGAACCAGGTCCTGAGACGCAAATCCAACTACGAACAATACCAAAAATATCACTAATAAAAACATGAAATTTAATTAGAATCTCATGTATAATGAGTAATAAAACAAACTCGAGATGATCAAGCTTCAATGCAAGTTCTAAAATAAAGAAAAGATTAAGTGATTTGAAAGTTAGCAGTTGCAGGAGGATGGTATAAGGTTACTTAAGAAGTAAATATATTGGAAATTATCTAGAACAAAAATAATGGAACTAACTGCATAACGTAGCATGACATTAGCACCAACACCCACTCCTAAGCCAATAAATTCTCGGATTCTGAAAATAATCACTTAAGAGGATTGAATGATACAGTAAAATGTTCAAACATTAGCAAAGAAATGATTTCTCTACAAATAAAATTCGGAATTTAGGAGAAAATAGTAAAAGATTATCAGTAACACCTACTTAAATTGTCCCACATAATTAAATATTATCAGTAACTTACTTGAATTGTTCCACGCAATTATCAACAATCTGAACGAGGGCATCCATTGTCGGATAGACATAACTGAAATAAGACCTCTTTTTCAAAAATTTTCAATGAATTTAATAAATTTAAATAATTCTTAGTTTAATGTTCCATCACTGATATAGCCTACCATTAGAAGTGTACAGTCTCCGATACTTTACTAAATTACAATAGGTCAAAGGGATTATTTCGAACCAACAGAGTTGGAAATTTACCTCTACTAAGTAAAAGTAAATCTATTCAAGTAAAATGCTCTTCAAATATAGCGATATTGGTGACCACCCTCAACTAAATAGTTAGCTACCACCAGAAAAAAGAAATGCAGAACGCAAGAGGTTAAGGAGGTTAAAGCATCATGCACATAATATAATAGGCAACTAATCATTTTAAAAAAAGTGGTTTCTACCGAAAAATAAAGATCAAATGCATATTTGCATCGATCAGCACGACATACAGCCTGCTTTATTAGGACATTTAAATGAAAAAAATATGCTAACTGATCCGGTAGTGGAGCAGCATCCATTTCTTGACCTGGAGCATTGATGTTGTAGATGCAGAAATTTGATAGAAATTCTCCAGCTGTGGCATATTGGAAAAAATTTTGGAAATTTGTTTCCGCTGAAAATAATACTCTGTTCAATTATGATATAATCTATTTATCGAATAAAATGAAATAAGATGAAAACGGTAAATGGAATAAGAAACAGTAAACTAAACGTGTCAAATAAAACTAAAATCCAAAAACAATTTCCACAAAATTTAGCAGCAAATAAAAGTTATGATCCAATTACATCATGAATCAGTCCTGATTAATCAATAATATGCGGCAATAATACAAATGATGAGTATGATGAGTTTAGATGAGTATAAATATACTTACAATCTAGTGCCATATCGTGAAATGTAACAATAGGGCTTGATTGCCGATTTCCATAAACGGTCACCTTCACATTTCCATATGCTGTTGACACTTTCTCCTGGAAATAAATTGACCGAAGAGTAGGCAAAATTCTTATTTCTAAACAATACCAAAACAGTAACATATGCACTAAGATATTTTTGATTAGTTTAATTACTAGTGTGTGTGTTTGTGTATTTCCAAATAAAAGTTAAGCGCGTGGATGGAATTTGCGGCAAAACTGGACATTAAAAAGTAAAAATTGAAGGAAGTAAAAATGGGAGAGCAAACTTCAAAATCTGGTGGATGTTCCGGTATTAAAGGCAATTCATCCGGAAAATATGCACCCATTTCTGCAGCAGAACACATTGTTCTTCGAACACAGCAAATTTTTTAACCCCTGAAACTCACAACACAATGATTCATTATTTTAACTGATATCTATAACAAAAATATGGAAGGCTAATACTGCATGAAATTTGAGCTCTTCGCATCACTCCAAATGATAATGTAAACAAATAAATAAATAAACGAAACAAATTTTTTTTTTGGTTAAAGAATAGTAAAACGCCACACATATATCACACAACTAATGCATATTAATGGAAATAATTGAAAAAAAAGGTTTTTAAATATGCAAAAAGATTCTATGTGTAAAACTGTCAAAAACATGAAATAATGAAAAATAAAATCACAATTATAATTATAAAGTGATAACGAAATGAAATTTGCAGTTGAAGCATAGGAAAAAACCGCCGAGTATTTACTAATTTAAGTAATTATGTTAATTAGTTAACTACTGCTACATTGGATGCTACAGATGTGAACTTATCATACATGCTAAATTTTTTCCTACAAAATTCCGTTAATATATAGATGTATTAAAAC